TCTGGCTGGCGCCCCTGGTACCCACGGCGGCCCCGAGGATGGTGGGAACCACGATTTTGGAGAGATCCGGGCCGGAAAAGCCCGAAATCGTGGTTCCCAGCTCTGGCTGGCGCCCCTGGGGCCCACGGCGGCCCCGAGGATGGCGGGAACCATGATTTTGGAGTTCTCTGCTGTTCTGCTGCTGCTCTCTGCTGTTCTGCTGCTGCTGTCTGCTGTTCTGCTGCTGCTCTCTGCTGTTCTGCTGCTGCTGTCTGCTGTTCTGCTGCTGCTCTCTGCTGTTTTGCTGCTGCTCTCTGCTGTTCTGCTGCTGCTCTCTGCTGCTCTCTGCTGTTCTGCTGCTGCTCTCTGCTGCTCTCTGCTGTTCTCTGCTGTTCTGCTGCTGCTGTCTGCTGTTCTGCTGCTGCTCTCTGCTGCTCTTTGCTGTTCTGCTGCTGCTGTCTGCTGTTCTGCTGCTGCTCTCTGCTGCTCTCTGCTGTTCTCTGCTGTTCTGCTGCTGCTCTCTGCTGCTCTCTGCTGTTATCTGCTCCTCTCTGCTGTTCTCTGCTGCTCTCTGCTGTTCTCTGCTGCTCTCTGCTGTTCTCTGCTGTTCTGCTGCTGCTCTCTGCTGCTCTCTGCTGTTCTCTGTTGCTCTCTGCTGTTCCCTGCTGCTCTCTGCTGTTCTCTGCTGCTCTTTGCTGCTCTCTGCTGCTCTCTGCTGCTCTCTGCTGTTCTCTGCTGCTCTCTGCTGTTCTCTGCTGCTCTCTGCTGCTCTCTGCTGTTCTCTGCTGTTCTCTGCTGGCTCTCTGCTGCTCTCTGCTGTTCTCTGTTGCTCTCTGCTGTTCCCTGCTGCTCTCTGCTGTTCTCTGCTGCTCTTTGCTGCTCTCTGCTGCTCTCTGCTGCTCTCTGCTGTTCTCTGCTGCTCTCTGCTGTTCTCTGCTGCTCTCTGCTGCTCTCTGCTGTTCTCTGCTGTTCTCTGCTGCTCTCTGCTGCTCTGGATTGGTTTTCGCTCGGTTGGTTTTCGCTTGAACGGATTACCTTTTCGCTCGAACGAGCGTCTTTTCGCTTGAACGATCCACCCTCCGCGCGCCCGGGGCGCAAGCCACGCGAAACCTCGGCATGCCCACCCAGCGCGCGGGCCCCCCACGGGGCGCCCATGGCCGCCACCCGGGCGAAAACCTTGGCAAAGCCACCAGTTGCGTAGGCAGCAGAAGTGCGACCCCGAGGGAGAGAGAGGGAGAGAGAGAGAGAAGCAATACAAAAACAGCAACAATATAAACATCTATACATACATACATACATACATACATACATACATACAAACATACCTACCTACCTACCTACCTACATGCATGCATACATACATACATACGTACATACATACATACACACAAACATACATACCTACCTACCTACCTACCTACCTACCTACCTACCTACCTACCTACCTACATGCATGCATGCATGCATGCATACATACATACATACATACATACATACATACATACACACATACATACAAACATACATACACACATATATACATACATACATACATACATGCATTCATGCATACATACATACATACGTACATACACATACATACATACATACATACAAACACACATACATACATACATACATACATACATACATACATACATACATACATCTATACAAACATACATATATATATATATACACGTATACACATACACATATATATATATATGTATATATATAGAGATATCGAGAGAGAGAGAGAGAGAGAGAGAGAGCGATGGGAGGCACAACAAAATAGCTGGCGAAGGACCCAACCATATGCAGTTGTGAATGCCGCAATTGTGCTGGGTGGTGGCGGACGCATGCGGGCGGTGTCACTGGGACCTTCGGTGGAGCTCCCTATGGGGCCACGAAACGCTGTACTGGGTGGG